GGACACTATGACCAATCCACCCTAACCTACAAATCTTTGGACTGTGGGAGGAAACCAGAGAAAACCCACACAGGCACAAGGAGAGCGTGCAAACTCCACGCAGACAGTTAGCCGAGGCTGGAATTGAACCTGGGTTCCTGCCGCTGTGAGGCAGCAGTGCTAACCACTGAGTCACCGTGTCGTCCCAATTAAGGAGCCTCACAGGGCATTGTATGATTACATAGAAAAAGAAACCCATGCTGGGTTATGGGGAAAGGTCGAGAGGATGGTACTAAGGTTTAATGTTCATTTTGAGGCCAATTCCAGACACAATCCACTGCTTGGCTTCCTCCTCCACCACTATAAACATTTGTGATCTATTACAATATTTCTAACTGGCTTTCTCTTGTACCCTTTCCCTCATTATTCATCTTTTAGCCATTCTTTGCTTTTCTTCCCACAACTGGCAGCCAATGAGCATCTCCAGCAACAGAGAATGTAACTATGTGCCCCTGACATTCAGCACTGAATCTCCCTCTATCAACATCATCATTACCTATGAGGAGAAAATGTACTGGATGTGCCATGTAAATACTGTGCCTACAAGAGCAGGTCATAGGCTGGGAATTCTACCGTGAGTGACTAACCTCCTGACTCTCAAATCCTGTCCTGCACAGCATCAAAAGACACAAGTCAGGAGTGTGAGGGAATACTCCCCACTTGCATGGATGGGTGCAGCTCCAACAACACTCAAGAAGCTCGACACCATCCAGGACAAAGCAGCCGCTTGATTGGCACCACATCCACAAACATCTATTCCCTCCACCACTGACACTCAGTAGCAGTAGTGTGTACTATCTACAAGATGCACTGCAGCAATCTACCAGCTGTCCTTAGACAGCACCTTCCAAACCCATTACCAGTACCATCTAGAAGGACAAGGGCAGCAGATACATGGGAATACCACCACCTACAAGTTCCTCTTCAAGCTACTCCCCATCCTGAGTAAGAAATATATCGCTGTTCCTTCAGGGTTGCTGGGTCAAAATCCTGAAATTCCCTCCCTAATTGTATTGTTTTAAGGAGTTCAAGAAGGGAGCTCACCACTCATTTCCCAAGGGCATGAGAAATGTGAAATGAAAAATGTAGAAATTTCTGGAAAAACTCAGCAGTTCTGGCAGTATCTGTGAAGAGAAAACAGAGTTAACATTTCAAGTCCAGTGACCCTTCTTTAGAAATAAACACTGGCCCAACCAGAGATACACACATCCCATGTAAGATTATAACAAAATGAAGACTTCAAATTGGAAGAATGTGGGGACATTCTTCACTAGGGGTCATATCACATGACAATTAAACATCTTCCCAGGTAAACATTTAGTTTGTGTGATCCAAATTGATTCCAATTGTCTGAGGAATTTTAAAATGCATTTCCCAGGGAATTATTCCTCTTCTTAGCTTTGGGTTTGTCTTGTTCTGAGGAGATCACGTGGCTGTGAGGAAGTATCTGGTCTGGAGGCTCCAGCCATATCTTGTGTGGGATAACTTTGATCAAGTAAATTCTCTTACTAGTCATCATGTTTCTCTGGGTTAACTGCAATCAGACAGAAATAGTGATCAGAGCTGGGCTGGACAAGAGATATATTCATCAAGAAATTAAACAGCAAAGGAAAAAGGGACAGAGGGGAAAAGATATCAAATAAAATTTCAATCTTCGAATCTTTTTATTTAGTACTTTGTACAGTTTGCTTTGTAAGTGCTGCAATTAGCAGCAAGTGTACCATGTGATTATTTTTCTGAGTTGGTAATAAGTTCAAGTATTCAACCATGACAGAAGGACATGGCAGATTTTGCGAATAATCAAGTATTAGTTCCTTCATGCAGTTGAGATGTTTGTACACCAGATACGCTGGATATGAGGCACAGCTATGTGTGAGCAGCACTACCTGTATTATACACAACATAGATGGCTTTCTTTTACATCTACCCAACCAGTCAATGCAGGGGGTAAATGTTTTGAATAAAATGGAAGTTAAGCAGGGAAGTCACCAGTAAAACCTTCAGTTGCGTTCTCAGCAAGCAAAGAGCACCTTGATCTTCAGTGAAGTCCAAGGTGAAGCTGAAATGTTAGACTTAATGAAAATGGAGAAGTTCATTTAATATACTGGAAAACCTTTCATTTTTGATGTGTCTAGGTATTCAGGGCCAAATGGGCAGAGTGTCTCAGAGCACAGCTAGCTGTCTGACAATCAATTACATTCACACATGAAGCGGTGGGTTCAATTTTTAACTCCCTCACTTCCAATGCCTCTCAATTGTCTTCCTCCAACCAGTAAATTGCAACGAATTAGCTGGTTTAGATAAACGACAGAGCTAAGGCGTTCAGTTGCAATTATAGATTGAAAGAAGGGTGACAATTTGACTGGAGTGGAAAAGTCCAAAGATTGGCAGTGCAAAACCTGTCAAGGGTTGGATTTAAGGATAAGGGAGGGTTTCAATCCAATTGTTGCTCTTTCTGGTAACACTGGCCTGAATTAGGAAGAACCTGAAGTGAAGAGTGCAGATAGTACCAAGATATTTCTAAATAACAATGAGGGCAAAATGACAATACTTAATTAATGAAGGACTAACAGGGTGGGTCTATGCACAAGGTTTGGGGACAAAGACTTCAAATCCAGAGTGTGAGTTTATTTCTCTTCTGCTTCTGAGAAGGGAGTGGAGTTATTATGTCACCAAACTAGTTAATCCAGAGTAAATGAGTTCAAATACCATTGTGGCAGTAAACAAACTGTGGAGGTTTGACAACACAATTCCATTTATATAACAGTTTCTTCCTGTAATTCGCAGGTTTGGACTATTAATACTCAGGACTTAAGTGGACAGACTCCGTTGACAGTTTAAGATTTGGAATTCAGTTTTTCTTCTTAAAAACATTGAAAATAAGAATCACTATATCAGTAAAAGTGACCATGTAGTTTCTGGGTTGTTGTAAAAACCATCTTGTTTATTCATCCAGAAGGAAAGCCGCAGTCCTTTCTCACTCCAAGTGTATTTGTGACTCCAATCCCCTCAACAACTTGTGTGGAGTCCTCAGTGGTCCAACATAGCATTGCGACTTGGGTGACTGGAGATCCTGGCCTTGCCAACAATGTACAGATTCAGAGGACTGACAAAAAATAAGGCAAAAACCTGTCCATTTAACTTAAAAAGCAACCTTGTGGAGTACAATTCTCTAGAGAAATAACAGCATTGAGCACAGTGCAATAAACTTAACAGCAAATATTATAAATAGATAAATAAAAGCAAGGATTAAATAATCACCGAGTTTTGTACAGCTAGCAATCCTGGTTTAAAAATAATTACAAGGAAATCAAGTGAACTATGAAATGGTGCAGAGGATAAAGTCATGCATTGTGCAAGGTTTCAGGTTGCAATGTGCAAGGTGTCCATCATATTCTAACTGCTGAATGCATAGCAAGATTCAAATTCATCAGAGACATGTGCGCTCAGGACTTTGCTCTTCACTGATGCTTTTTGCAGTCTCATGGTCTGTATTATTTCATCGTGCCACCAGTTTCATCAAGAGGAGTGAAGATTCTGCTCCCTGCAATAACGTACTGAGTCGAACTGAATCCAGTATTCACTGTACTCTTCAGTGTCAGTGAAACAGCTTCATTCTGATACATTGATACATACTGAGGAGCACTGATAACAGGATGTGTCAAAGAGGAGACCTGTAAATATTAAAAAAAGTAGGGGTATGATAGGAAGAAAAATGGGCAGATACATGGAAGGATGAGGAATGAAGAACTGAAGATTCAAAGACTCTGGATGCAGGAGGTCTATGTGCTATGTAGGTGAAGTAGAATTGACAAAGACACCAAGTTTATAACAGCAAGAGAGAGAACGAAACAAATAAGAGTAAGAAACATATTCTCCAGTACTGCCCCAGTGAATGTAATGTGTGCAATGCAATGAATCACACGGGTTAACCACAGAGATTCAGAGGAAGCAATGTGATGTGATACAGTCATAAAGCATGGAAACAGACCCTTCAGTCCAACTCGTCCATGCTGACCAGACATCCCAATCTGATCTAGTCCCATTTGCCAGCATTTGGCCCACATCCCTCTAAACCCTTCCTATTCATATACCCATCCAAATGCCTTTTAAATGTTGTAATTGTACCAGCCTCCACCACTTCCTCTGGCAGCCCATTCCATACATGCACCATCCTGTATGGGGAAAAAAGTTGCCCCTCAGACTGTTTTTAAATCTTGCCCCTCTCACCTTAAACCCATGCCCACTAGTTTTGGACTCCCCTACCATGGAGAAAAGACCTTGGCTATTCACCCTGTCTGTGCCCATCATGATTTTATAAACCTCTATAAGGTCATCCCTCAGCCTCTGATGCTCCAGGGTGATAGAAATAGAGGTTACATTTCCAACAGACTTCAGCTTTTACTGTTGTTTTAAATATTAATTTAATATTTAGCAGGATTGAACCCTTCTTGCCCATCAATTTCCCCCACCAGTTCTCGCGATTGGAGATTTTGGCATCTCAACCTCCGTTGAGGGAGAGCCCAAAGTGTGGAGTTGAAACTGTGAATCAAGCTGCAAATCAGCAGCAGGGGGTGTGAGAAGGAGTTGGAGACGTCAGGAGGAAATGGCAAAAACGAAAAGGGAGCAGTCAAATGGAGAAAAGGAGTAAACAAAGTGCCATAACAAGACAGCAGACATGAGCTGCCAAAACACAAGCAAACAATCCAGCTCCACACCGTGTTATCTCAGATTCTCCAGCATCTGCAGTTCCTACTATCTCTCACACAATAAGTAATGGGGCATGGGTTTAAGGCCAATGGGAAACCCTGGAATCCTGATCCCTTCTCTGCAAACACAAATTAAAGTATGAAAACATACCAACATTCTAAATACTTCCATAAGAAGCCTTGTGAACGTCACAATTATGTATAAATGTTCATCAACAATGTCAACATGTCTAATCGATAAAAACATGGAGCTCACACACTTACATTGTTTTACTGTGTAACACAAGATTAAAAATATGGATTACGTGAACAACATTTCCTCAGAATGATCACGCATCCACACATAAAATACTCAGCAATTACAAAACCAGGAGCCTCTTCTCCATATCACACATCCTTCAGTACACTGTGAATTCAGTCAGGAGAACATAGCAGCCAATGTACTGTCCCCCAGTGTGTGTGTCTTTGACTTAATGACAATAAGAGGTCAAGATTCTGCTCATCATTCCATCAGTGAAACTCCTCCGCTGTCTCGAAGCTCACAAATTGACGCCTTCAAGATCCTTCGCCAAATTATCGCACAGTGACCTTGCTTTTCACCTCGTCCATGATATATGGGATTGGAAGCTCACTGGTCCCTGCTGACGAGTGTCATGAAGTGCACATGGAACAACATTCTACCTGTAAAGATCCTCCGACACAGAGGAAACCTGGATATGGTGAAGCTGTTTGAGGGGAAAGAGAAGATTGCTATATGGCGAATGTCCCAGGAGCTAGGTCCCCTGGATTGCTCTGGTCAGGGCGATGAATTGACTTTTCTTATCTCATGAATATCCAACCCTGGAAGACAGAACAGAAGGGTGTACTTTTTACACATAAACCATAAACTTCTCTGATGTGTAGATATGTAATGAATGCTAATTCTAGATATTTTCCTAATTGATTTATGGGTGTCACAGTGGCTCAGTGGTTAGCACTGCTGCCTCACAGCACTAGCCTCTGGTGTCCTCTGGAGAATGGAGTTTGCACATTCTCCCTGTGCCTGTGTGGATTTCTGCTGGGTGCAGAAGATGTGCAGGTTAGGTGGATTGGCCATGGGAAATATGGGGCTAGAGTGAGTGAGCTGGGTCTGGCTGGGATGCTTTTCAGAGGGTCATAAGATCATAGAATCCCTACAGTGTGGAATACAGTCTATTGAGTCTACACCAAACCTCTGAACAACATCCCACCCAGGCCCACCACCCCTGTAACCCTGCATTTCCCATGGCTAATGGACCAGTGAATTCTCAATGGGCTGAATGACCACTTTCTGCACTATAGGGATTCCATGATTCCAGCCTGTTCAGGCATGTTAGGGCCACCCTCTGGAGCAAGTGAGACTTGAACCTGAACCTGAGCCTCCTGGCTCAGAGGTAGCGGCACTACCACCGTACCACAAGAGCCCTGCATCATATGTTACTCCTAGTTATTTAAATCAATCTGTTCAGCTATATTATGACAGACTCTGAAACAAGTGGGAATTGAACCCAGACCTTCTCATCCAGAGATAGCAATAGTGCCTCAAGGACTGAGTTTATATTTGCAAATCAACTTGCTAAGAGATGTTATTACATACACTTGGAGCAGGTGGGACTTGAACCTCCTGAGTCAGAGTAGGGAAACTACCGCTACACCACAAACATAGAATCCCTATAGTGTGTGAACAGGCCCTTCGGCCCAACATGTCCACACAAACCCTCAGAGCATCCCACCCAGACCCAGACCCAGACCCATCCCCCTATAATCCACCTAATCTACACATCCCTGAACACTATGGGCAATTTAGCATGGCCAATCCACCTAGCCTGCACATCTTTGGACTGTGGGAGGAAACCGGAGCACCCGGAGGAAACCCACGCAGACACGGGGAGAACGTGAAAACTCCACACAGGCAGTCACCTGAGGGTGGAATCGAAACCAGGTCCCTGGCACTGTGAGGCAGCAGTGCTAACCACTGTGCCACTCATATATTAAGTCTATTGTTAATTCAAAATACCTTTTACCTGTACTTCTTAAATACTTGGAGCACTTATAAAGAGAGACTGCTGGACATGGTGATGGTAGGTAGGAAGTAGACATTTGTTATGCTGCATCTGAGAATGAATTTACTGTCATGAAAACTGTTAGTGTCTAGTTTCATGTTTCATCAACTGGTTAGAGGTCAACAATAATGAGGAAGCAAGTTTCCAGGAAGTCTGGCTCATAAACTACAGGCACCTGCTGTGGGTGGTCTAGAAACTCTGTATTATGACCTGGTAAGGAGGCGACTCCCCCATTAATAAACCATTAGGTTGTTGCAACACAGGTTTTTCATTTTGTTTACTTTAAATAAAAGATATTGGTCTATAACCGAATTGTAATGATATATTGAGCAGCATCATAAAATCATACTGGACAGGAGAGGCCCTTTGGCCCATCATGTTTGTAATGCTGAAAGTACGCTACTACCTACATACTCTCACTTTCCAGCTCTAGGCTCATAGCCTTGAATGTTATGACGGTTCTTATCCAAGTACTTTTAAAGGTTGTGAGGTTTCCCACCTCGACTGCCCTCCCAGGCAGTACATTCCAAACCCCCACCACCCTCTGGGTGTAAAAAAGATTTTCCTCAAATCCCCCTAATCTTTCTGCCTTACACTTTAAAATTATATCCCTTGGTCTTGAGCTGCTTTCTATTGACCTTGTCCATACCCCTCATAATCTTATACCTCTTCAATCTTCTCTGCTCCAAAGAAAATGATCCGAACTTATCCAGTCTCTCTTCATTGCTGAAATGCACCATCCCAGGCAACACCCTGGTGAACAAAAATAGAAGTTGCTGGAAAAGCTCAGCAGGCCTGGCAGCATCTGTGAAGAGAAATCAGAGTTAACATTTCGGGTCTGGTGACCATTCCTCAGAACTGGACCAGAAACGTTAACTGATTTCTTTTAACAGATGATGCCAGACCTGCTGAGCTTTTCCAGCAACTTCTGTTTTTGTTTCTGATTTACAGCATCCACAGTTCTTTCAGTTTTTATATAATATTCCAACATCCTGGTGAATCTCCCTCTGCATCCCCTCCAGTGCTATCATATCCTTCCTATAGTGTGGGGACCAGACCACACACAGTACTCCAGCTGTGGCCTTACCAAAGTCCTGTACAGCTCCAACACAACCTCCCTGCTCTTATAATCTATGCCTTGACTGATAAAGGCAAGAGTCCTGTATGTTTTCCTAATTACTATATTAACCTGCTCTACCACCTTCAGGGATCTGAGGGCAAATACTGCAAATCCCTCTGAGCTTCCCAGTATCCTGCCATTCATGGAGTACTCCCTTGTTTTGCTACTACTTCCAAAATGCATCACCTCACATTTATCAGGGTTAAGTTCCATCTGGCACCGATCTACCCGCCTGACCAATCCATTCATATCCTCCTGGGACCCAAGATACTCTTCTTCACTGTCAGCCACGTCATGTGCAGCCGTAAAGTTTTCATCCAGTTTCCCTGCACAGAGACGGACTCCTTACCTGATGAGCTGGAGGTTTGAGAGCAGCAATCCCCAACAATGATCTGGAGACTGTTGACAGAAATCCACGCTTGCTGCCCCCGGTTCAGGTTTTTCACAAACCTGTGAATATTACAGAGAAAAGGTGGCCACTGTTGAGTCATACTGATTCCAAAGACTAGCCCCCTTGCCCTGCTCCCTCTCTGCAGCCCTGTATCTGCCTCAAATGTTCAGCTACACTCCCTTTAAATGGTGAGGCTTTCTCCCGATCAGTCACATTCTCTGGGAAAGGATTCCGCACTCCAGTCAGTCACCTCCAAGGAAAATATATGATCCAAATCAAACTGAAGTTCCGATCGCTTTTACCAGTCCCCACTGGCAAGGGGTGGTGCTCCTGAGAGATCATCTTCAGGTTACTGTTCACCATTTTACAAACTGTTCATACTTGGGAAGCTGAAATATAACATTCCCACACTGAGGGCACTGTGGGTGAACCCACAGCAGGAGGTCTGCAGCGGTTCAAGAAGGCAGCTCACCACCACCTTCTCACAGGCAACTAGGGATGGACAAGAAATGCTGGCCAGCCAGCAACACGCACATCCCACAAATGAATAAATAAAAAAAAAAAATCGGTAAACACCTTCTAATTGAGGAGTATAGTTAATCATTAGACTGCATCAATTTTCGAGAACCTTTCAAAAATTTGCAGACTACTAAAGGCTAGATTCACCCTTAGAATGTTGTCACAGTGTAAGCCTGATCAAAGGAAGAAGGAGCATGTGCACTTTTCCAGAACAAAGAGTCTCAATGGGATAGCAGCACAAAGAGACGGAGATGTTGGTCGGTTCACCGAGCTGACTGGTTTTTGTGCAAATGTTTCATCTCCCTTCTAGGTAACATCCTCAGTACTGTCTATCCTCCAATGAAGCGCTCTTGTTCTGTTCCGTTCTGAATTTATATGGGGAGGAAGGGTCCCTTCTGAGGAAGGGTCACCGAACCCGAAACGTTAACTCTGTTTTTTCCTTCACAGATGCTGCCAGACCTGCTGAGCTTTGTCAGCAACAAACATGTTGAAACAGACCCCATTGACATACCACTACAGAGCAAAACCAGAAACAGGACTACCCACCATGACAGACTGGATCAGATAAATTCAGAACGAAACAGAACAATGGAGGCTACACAGCACTGACAATGTCACCTAGAAGGGGGACAGAACTTTTGCACGAAAACCAGTCAGCTCAGCGAACCAACCAACAATTCCTGCCACAGCCCAAGCTACAGATCTTCACTAAAACATAAAAGCACAATGAGATGATTGGATTACAGATTCCCAAATCACTGCAAGGAATCACCCAGGTCAACCAAGCCAGAAAAGCAATGTTAACAAATAACTTGGGATTTACTTCTACAGGGATAGCATTGAAAAGCAGAAAACTTCAGTAAAATCTACCTGCACCATTGGCTGGACTGTGCTTAGTCCAAACTATTGTTCCGAAGTTAGGAGCACAGAGCTGTTAAAATTCCCAACTTTGAAATATAACTTGAAAGAAAGTAACTGGCCTGTTCATGTTAATTAGTGTTATCGGGGATTTGGCCCTGGCAACTGTTTAGGGGCAGCCACAGGGGCTGCTGGGTGTGAAGGTAGATATTGACACAATGCCACCTTAGTATTAACACATGATAATCCATGTTCCTTCTAATATCCTTCATCCTTGCACCCTCTACTCCAGCTCACCAGGTGTACCAACTGACAGGTACTTTGCTGGTAATGGAATCAGTTCTACAGCACAGCACCAAAAAAACATC